CCCAAAAACAACAGGGAGACGACGGGGAAAAGTGCCCGATTAGGGGTTTTTGAAGGAAAAAACTGCACTAAAATTTTGCAGGGGACAGGAAGAGGGAAAGCCCCTTCTGAACCCTCATGTGTACGGGGATAAGAGAATGAGTGGGAAGCAAATTCGGTCCCTACATCATCTTCGCGGCTCGCTACATAAGGTAAACATTCAAACAAAGGATTTTCTCATTACTCTTACTTACACTGCTGGAGTTCAATGAAGGAAATCTAGCAAACGGTGGTTCAGAACAAAGAACTGCAATTGAAAAACATTTTGAGGACCTTAAATAATTTTACAAATTATCACTCACTTTATTTCAGTGAGAAGAGATGTAAGATAGAGACATAGAGAGACAGAGAATTCATGGATAGGACAGATCAGAGAAACAGAAAGAGACATGAACGGACAGAGTGAATACCTTGTCTAAGTGAAACCCTTCCTTTGGAAACTTGGGGCTCAACTCTTCTTGTCTTCGTCACTTATAAAGACTCAGATCAAAACACTGGTTGTAACCTGATTAAGTAGTTCCTCCTCCCCATTGCAAAGTTCTTGTCACAGTTTATGATTAGAGAACAGATTTCTGACATCAGCTCTGGCTAGTCATCCCTATATTGAAAAACACTTTTTGATCAGTCTGAAATGTCCCTCAAATTGGCAAAAGACTGGCGACTTCTTGTACACCAGATCTCCTGCACGACATAACAATTTCTTATTATGCAACTTCCACATGTGGGTTCTAGGGCTCCAGTTTGGGCAACAACAAACTAGACCCTGAGAGGTGAGGTACCAACAGTCGGCACAAAAATAAGCTCAGTCTGTAAAACACATGTGTGTGCAAAATGCAAGTTCTGGATCAACACAAAGTCCAGGAGTGGACAAACAACCAGAACTTTCTGCCAGAGCTTACAGCTGGTGAACATTAAGAAGAAGAAGAAGAAGAAGAAGAGTATGCAAATATGTGAAGTCAGAATATTCAATCTGGTATAATGAAATGGATAAAAAACATTCACAGCAATGTAGTCACTCTTCAGTATAAGAGAAACATGCTATCACTCTTCAATATATGAAAAACACTTACTTGCACATTCGGGGCATTAAAGATCTCTGGCCTGAGATCGTCCTCAATATATTCAGGCAAGTCATGGTGTTCCTGGACAGTTGTGTGCAGCCTGGCAGCCCCAGAGCCCATGGGAAAGTGGGACATATGGTTCACCAAATGGGTCATTAACTGAAAATTACCAAATGCATATGATCTGCCAAGTGGGTCATTAACCAGAAAGAAAAAAATTCATATAGTACACTAAGTGGGTCACTAACTGGAAAGTACTAAAGGCATATAGTTCTCCACTTGGGTCATTAACTGGAAAGTACCAAATTCAAAACGAGTGCAATGAAAGACGCCGGGAGTGCTTGACTGGATTCCAACCATGATGTTGGGATAATTGTACATGACAGAAAGAAATGGAAAACTTAACTTTGAGCCCTATGTGACATGTATAATGGCTGATGTTGATGATGATGAAAGTCTTTTAGTAAATGGCATAAAGGTCGAGGAAATCTCAATGCAGTCTGGCTGTAAATGTGTGAAAGCTCACGTCTGCCATGGTTTACTGGCCACTTCTGTTTCCCATCAAATTCTTCCCCAATTAACCTTTTTCTTCTTCTTTTGTCCTACTGCTTATGCTTTAAAGTATTGCAGAGACAGGTTAGATGTCATTTTCTGCCTTTTTCCTAGTTGCCTACTTGTGTTAATATTATGTTGCCTTATTGTAGTTTCTCTTTCACTCCTCGCACCCATCTCTTTCTTAGCCGACCTTTTGCCTTCTAGCCTGCTGTTCTCATGTGGTATGCTCTAGCTGCTAGTGGATTATGTTCCACTTTGACCAGATAACCAAACCATTTGATTCTTTGATGGTTTTTTAAACCATTTACTAGCAATGTGTCTACTACTTTTTTTAGTTCTTCATTGGTGACCCTGTCTCTTCTTGTTTTTCCCACTGCATTTCTTATACATCTCATCTCACAAGTTGTAATTTTGCATTCACGTTTTTCTAGGACTGTCCAGACACTGATAGCACAAAGTTGGTATAAATAGTGCATTTATTCCCAATTTACTACACAGTACAAAATGGTGAATGAGAAAATGAGAAATTCTGGAACGGACCTGTTCACGTTTCCCAGCCCATCTACACACTGTCTCAGTCTGAGCTAGGTCAGAGGGGTGTCACATTGTACTGCTTTCTTCGAAAAGAGTCTCTCGTGTGACCTAGGTTGAGGCTGTGGCTAGGGAAGTTTGGTTTAGGGCCAGTTCTGTGTCGTCATGAAGTACAGAACACCTGACATCAGCAATGAGGTAATTGATTGGAAGACAAAGTGACACCCCTCCGACGTAGAAAAGTCTGAATGAAAGGTCAGGTAGTGTGTAGATGGGCAGGGAAACATGAACATGACCTCTGGAACAAACATAATTGGAAACTAAGGAAACTTACAGCTCTGGCAGCAAGCTTGACAATATCAGTCTCTGACTTGCGTCCATGATCCTGCTGCAGTGGTGACGACATTCTCCCGGGGTCACCGACTGGTTCGGACAGAGTAGCATCGGCACTGAAAGGTCGCTGAAAGGATGACGGCAAGCTGGCAGCACCCACAAACCCAGACTGGGTCTCAAAGATATTAGTGAAGTCTGTGTCCAGCAAGAAGTCAGATAGGGATTTGCTGACTCTGGTCAAGGAGGACGAGCTGTGGCCTGTGACTGCTGAGTGCAACACCTGAAAGATAGCAAGTGATGAAGTGTGGCACCAGACTACACATACAGCACCAGACTACACATCTGGGCATGCAGACTACACATCTGGGCATACAGACTACACATCTGCACATACAGACTACACATCTGCACATACAGACTACACATCTGCACATGCAGACTACACATCTGCACATACAGACTACACATCTGCACATAGAGACTACACATCTGCACATACAGACTACACATCTGCGCACACAGACCACACATCTGCGCAACCAGACTACACATCTGCGCATACAGACTACACATACAGCACCAGACTACACATCTGCGCATACAGACTACACATACAGCACCAGACTACACATCTGCACATACAGACTACACATCTGCACATACAGACTACACATCTGCACATACAGACTACACATCTGGACATACAGACTACACATACAGCACCAGACTACACATCTGCACATACAGACTACACATACAGCACCAGACTACACATCTGCACATACAGACTACACATATGGGCATACAGACTACACATACAGCACCAGACTACACATCTGGGCATACAGACTACACATCTGCACATACAGACTACACATCTGCACATACAGACTACACATCTGCACATACAGACTACTCATCTGCACATGCAGACTACACATCTGCACATACAGACTACACATCTGCTCATACAGACTACACATCTGCACATACAGACTACAAATCTGCACATACAGACTACACATCTGCACATGCAGACTACACATCTGCACACAGAGACCACACATCTGGGCATACAGATGACACATCTGCACATAAAGATTACACATCTGCGCATACAGAATACACATCTGCGCATACAGACTACACATACAGCACCAGACTACACATCTGCGCATACAGACTACACATACACCACCAGACTACACATACAGCACCAGACTACACATCAGTACATACAGACTACACATCAGCACATCCAGACTACACATACAGCACCAGACTACACATACAGCACCAGACTACACATCTGCACATGCAGACTACACATCTGCACATAAGACTACACATCTGCACATACAGACTACACAACTAGGCATACAGACTACACATACAGCACCAGACTACACATCTGCACATGCAGACTATACAACTGCACATACAGACTACAATCTGCATATACAGACTACACATCTGCACATACAGACTACAATCTTCGCATACATACTACACATCTGCACATCTAACAAACGACTTCCGGTTAAAATGGACGCTAGGTAGCGGCACTGTTCGAAGCAGAGGCAAATTTTTTGCTTCTGCCAGACGGTGGCCGATGCATTTTTGCTCCATTTGTAGACTGGATATAGTTTCGTTGCCCAGCTTCTGAGTTGAATGCATGGTGTGACACTGTGAGCTGCGGATTGCATTTAGAATGTTTTTTCGACTGTGACCAACACACGGTGGTGTGAATTGTAGATTCAGAAATGGCGCGATGCCTGGTCGTGCAATGTTGGCGGTGCCCGTATGTGATTAAAATTGATCGCGTGGGCAACTGCTGATCTGTGGCGACAAGTTCTGCTATCATCAAAGATGAACTGCATTTCTAATGTTGGAACTGTTTGTGTTAGCACTTCGGATGGCTACCGTATGCTTTAATGCGAGTGTATGCTAGATATGCTGAGACAGCAGTCTGTCAATCTTTCCACAAGGAGCTGTGATAAACATTCTGTGTGTTTTTCGATGGCACAGGAGGAGCAAAGATGGGGTGACCTTTTGCTATGAGAACTAGTGTATTTCTGCTTTCGCCCTTAAAAAGGCAGCTGATACACTGTGTTGTAGTTTACAGCTATCTCTATCATTTACCATAAACATAATGGCATGGAACCTTGTTCTTGACCTCTCACCTTGTATTCAATAAGTATTTTAACTATTAACATGTACACAATGGAACCAGAGTTTCTTTAACTATTAACTTGTATATAATGGCATGGAGCTAAAGTATTTTAACTATTAACATGTACACAATGGAACCAGAGTTTCTTTAACTATTAACTTGTATATAATGGCATGGAACCAGAGTATTTTAACTATTAACGTGTACACAATGGCATGGAGCCAAAGTATTTTTAATTATTAACTCACAACTCCTAACATAAAAAGACAGGTACAAACAGACAGTCGACAGTAAACAACAACAGGAACTACAAGCAGACAAAGGTCTCCATACCCTGAACACCTTGTAGATGCAGCTCTTGTCTGTGTCGGTGGTTTCCATCAGCAACTGTATGGGCATCTTCAGGCACCATTCAACCATAGCAAACATCATGGACACAATCAACTGGAAACAAAACATGCAGAGCAAATACACTCACCCACAGCACATTCATTGAAAAACATGAGAACCCAGCCATGAAATATGGTCATTATTACAAAATTTAACAAAAAATAATTTTTTTTAAAAATTGGTCGGATCCTGATGGGAATAAAACAAATGCACACTCAACACTGTTTGTCCAAAATATTTGCAGGATTCTCCTTTGACATCTATTTTGTAAAGTCTCTAGTTTATAATTCCTGCTGTCATTTTTCAACACTCACTGCTGTACAATCTGTAACAAAACCCATCACTAAATTTGTTGACAAATATTTAAATGGTTCAGCCATCTACTGGGAATAATCATGTGATGCCGGCAGCGACAGTGTATAGATGAAAATGGAAACACCTAAAGGCTGAGAGAAACCTATAAACATATGGACTGGAGATGTCGCTGAGAGTCTAAGACTTCATATCATCACAGCAAACCAAGCGCACTCTAGCTCAACTACCTATCTTCTTTCTGTTTAACTGTGATGATACAAAGCAGATATTGGACAAATGAAAAGAGTTATATATTGCCAATTATTTTCCCTATTAGTGGTCTTGAGGGTGCAAAGAATGTGCTTACACCATGTGTGCTAGGTACAGGATGCAGAGTCTGTGTATGCTGCGCCTGCTGCATCTGCTGCGGAGGCCTAGCAAGTGGCCCACAGATCCTTGCCAGTGGTACTGTATTAATGATCTGTCTATGCTTGGGCTCTGGCCTTTTGTCCATTGGCCCCTGAGTAAACTCAGCTGACCAGCCCAGTTCTACAGGATCTTAACGCACCCTATCTGTTATACTGTATAGTACCACATTGTGCTGTAGGCCATTTTTACCTATTTGAACTATACATTTTGTGACTGATAACAACACTGTCCTAGTTCTCAAGTGACAATTATGCAGTATACACAACAGAGGTATCTGCTAAAACTGTTATCTATAAATATTAGGAAGATGGGCTGACCCTGTAGCCATGAGAAGTCCACACCTCGGGGATCTGAAAGCAGGACATCCAGCTAGGTAGGCAAGTGTTTCTGCCACTAAGCTACCATGGCTGCTATTGAAAACTTTTAATAAACACTAAACACAACTGAAAGTATACATGACAGAAACATAAATAATAGAAATAAGTAATTACCCGTTTTTCTTCATCAGAATTTGCAGCACCATGAGTAGCAATGAGAGCTGATATGGTTGAAGCTATGGCCTGAAAGACAAAAAGAAAAAATGAAAACATCAAAAGCATAATATGAGTAAACGGACTGTTGGCGAGTCTGGGATTCTGACAGATACTAGAAGCAAGGCTTGCTGCATTTAGGTTGTCTCAATCCTTAAAATGGCACGCCTCTACTGGAGTCAGATGAGTGTAAGTAACAGCTTAATAATCAAAACCCATCCTAATGACTTCATTAGGTACATTGGCAGCTGTGGCTACAAAAAAATATTTTTAAACACACGCACGCGCTATGAGTCATCAAGCATGTATGCTTGGGTCGTTAGAAGTCAGCACAGGTATTCAAATAGGCATCCAACTGTTTGGGAAGGTGAAAATTCCCAAGGGCTCCCTAATGTCGAAATAGGGTCAAAAAGTAGTTAAACGAAAGAGACAAGCGCATATTCCCATGTTGGGATGAACAGTTGCAAGTGAAAAACCAGTGGGACGAGAACAGGGGTTTGAACATGAGAAAGCAGATAGAATCAGTTGGTGTTTGACAGCTGGAGTGAATGGTCGAGTTCTGTGAGACAAATGACCGTTATCCAGTGGGCCTGTTGACAGCGTTGAGAAGTTCCCAATATCTGAGCATAAATGGCTGAGCAGAAGCTATCTTAAATTGACGCCCTGAACGACTGTGAAGACTTGGGGCGCTGTGTTGGAGATGCAAGTCCTTCACATGAATTTAACGCATGGAATGCAAGGTAACAATGTGTTGAGCACCATGTGCGTGTCATGTAACCATTGATGATTGATTCTAGTATGATGAGCGAGAACAAAAGACTGCGACTAGACGATACTATTTTCTGAATCACAATAAAGTAACAGAACATCCAACAGGTGTCTAGTCAACCCATGTGTGTATCTAACATATGGATGATAGGACACCAATAACTTATAGATGTCTAACTAGAAACTAACAACAGTAACAAAGCAGGGGATATCATCCAACAAGAAGGATGGGCCGAGTTAACAAAGCAGAGAGGGATGAATTTCTGTTGCAGATAATGCTACTGAATTTTTAAAACTCTCATCATCAACATCATGTGGCAAGTCTTTTAAATAATGTCCTGTGCTCTCTTCTGCTGGAAAAACAAGTGGTATTCTGGATTCAGTGCTCTCACACTGCAAAATGCAAAAAGAAAAACAACTGGCTATACAAAGATCAAAAGTCCAGTTTGTGAATAATCTAACAACATTTAATCTTTTTCTTCAGAGTTCACCATTTAATGGGCTGTTGGCATGTCATATTGCGGTTTACAGCTAGACTGCAATATCTGCAACTTTTGGCCCAACACATCCAAGTTCAGCAAACTCCTAAATATTCATCTCTGAGGACATGTATCAAAGGTCATGTATCAAAGGTCATGTATCAAAGGTCATGTATCAAAGGTCATGTATCAAAGGTCACTAATTAGGAGTGGGTCTGTCCTTTATTTCCTCCCAAAATGGGGTCTTGGCACCCACACAGGAGAACAGTCAACATTGCACATCTTATGTTAATTTATAACAAGCTGGAAAATCACAGAAATGAAACAGTAATTGTATTTAGACTAATGGCTTACTAACTTGTCAAATTCTTATTCAAAGAGGTGTTTATTTATTTAAGACATAATATGATTCATTTGAATTTCTTAGAAAACCTTAATGGATGAGACAAAGTGAGTGAGTGCAAAGCCTTCCAGAATGTTCTTAACAAGGACACAACAAGCAAAAAAATTATGGGAAATCCAACAAGAGACCTTTACAAAAACAGAACACAACCAGCATCATCATGTAACAGGTCGTTTTAGGAATGCTCACATCACAGCATGCCTGACAGAATCTTGGTCTCTTGTGAACCCTGCCACCATACACCTTCCTGCCCAGCCCAGCCCATCTGTCTGCTGGTCAGCCCCTGCCCCTCTTACCCAATACCATGCCCTTCACTACGACTCTTTCCACTCCACTATGGTGTTTAATCTTTCCACTCCACTATGGTGTTTAATCTTTCCACTCCACTATAGTGTTTAATCTTTCCACTCCACTATGGTGTTTAATCTTTCCACTCCACTATAGTGTTTAATCTTTCCACTCCACTATAGTGTTTAATCTTTCCACTCCACTATGGTGTTTAATCTTTCCACTCCACTATGGTGTTTAATCTTTCCACTCCACTATGGTGTTTAATCTTTCCACTCCACTATGGTGTTTAATCTTTCCACTCCACTATGGTGTTTAATCTTTCCACTCCACTATGGTGTTTAATATGGCAGTGTACTTCAGTTTTCCCAGACAGGATGCAGTTTACCAGCCTATTCTGCTTGATATTCAGATCTTTTAAGATGTCAGTATACCACGGACCAAGAAGAAAAGCAAATCAAATGGTTTGCCCACTTGGAGAGAATGCCTCCTGATGCTATACCATACAAGACATATACAAAAAGAGGAGAGGGATTCAGAGCAAGAGGCAGACCAAGAACAAAATGGGAAGATAACATCAGAGAAACTCTACAGCACCCACGATGTGTCTATGGTCGGGCAGCTAGAAGAGCACAAAGCAGGACCTTATATCTCCTTCAACACTCGAAGCAGTAAAAGAGGACGTAAAGAAGAAGAAAAGGTATACTGATCCAACCAGCACCAGGGGCGTTTAGTTGTCAGTTTGCAAGAAAAAAAACAGTCATCATCATCTGCCATGGTTGTAAGTGCGGTTTAGCTGCAGTGACACACCTCCCATGATTACCCAGTTCTGATAAGGTCTGTCTTTTTGGTTTAATTATACAATTTTGTCAAGAAACTGACTATACTGCACATTTTTAGAATGAAATCAAAGACAATTCCTGTGGGTTGTACAAATGCATTATTTCTACAAATGATTTCAGTGACACTGTTACCAAGTTTACTCACTTCTGTAATTTTCTTTGGCATTTGTGGGTGGTAGTCCTGAAGTCTGTCCACATGATCACATAACAACAGCAGCATGTCAGTTGCCACTTTGGCTACTTTCTTATTTACACACTAGAAAATGTAAAGATTATTATGTCTCTGAGAATCAATGAAAGGGCACACTAGAAAATGTAAAGATTATTATGTCTCTGAGAATCAATAAAAGGGCACACTAGAAATGTAAAGATTATTATGTCTCTGAGAATCAATGAAAGGGAAAGAACAGAGAAGACAAACTCAGGACTTCATATCCCTTCATCTGTGACTGACATATGTTATTTGTCTACGTCTGTGATTTGGGTGTTGCAAATACATTTAGTACTTCTAAAATACCAGGTTAAATTCAGCTGCAGGTATCTGGCAGCAGACAGCTTCATGTTAATTTGACATATTATTTGACCGACCAATGAGAAAACAATGGCAAACTACTGAACATACAATTCCCTGGTAAAACCGAACAGTCAACAAATGTTGGGGTTGATTCTGCAACATCCAGTAAATGGTACACTGTAAAGTTTACGAGGGGAAGTCAGCAATTATCTCCACTTTTGTCATAACTCTTCTTACACTGTCCACACCGACTTCTGTCTTCACTTATTCTATTGCTATACTGTTATGGTAATGCTGTGAAAGTATGATCCAAAATACACAATTTTTATTCCTTCTGTTGCAGATAAATCATAGCTACTCCATTTGAAGTTTGCACCAAAGAGGAACAACAAGCTGTGATAACAATTTCTCTCGTCAGAAGGTGTCAAAGGTTCCTAAATTTATCATCTATTCTATCATCGCAATATGGGGGAGGTGCACTATCATGTTAAACTGTTTTTGTGAATGAAGAATTTAAAAGTGTTCGAACAAGTGTAATGCAAGAAGAGGGAGCAGGACGGCCTTTAACTTCCACTCAGATTTAAACGTGGAAAATGCGGTGCAAAAGTGGCTTCTTGACCAAGCAAAAACCTTTTTATTTACAAGGAATATGTAAACTTGTTGACCATTGGGCAAAGTGCACTGACAAGGAGAGAGATTACATAGAAAAATTATGTTCATAGTGAAAATCCTAGCTTCCTGTAAATAAACTGTAGAATGAAAAGTGTAGATAATTTCGGACTCTCTCTCGTATATGTTACGATGTTGTGTATGACAATAACAGCAATAATCTAAATGGGCTGTATATGCTGAATGAAACAGCTTTCAGTGAAATATGTTATTCACTTTCATATTCTGGCAGTAGACATATGTCTGTCTATGCAACAAAGAGTAGGTTTGCCATGTCACATTTCTGCTATTCTACAAGTCTGTTTGTCTGTCTCTCCACAACTGAAGATGAAGACACACTTATCATCATCATCGTCATCATATGCCATGTCAATAAGTCCCTTGTTTCGCAATCTCACACAATCACCTGAATCATGAATCAGGTCAGTGTTCTTGTCTCATCTCATCAGAAAGACCAAGCCATTCAGGCATTCACATCTTTGCCTTTCCCATGCAGTTTCCCATCAGTCTTGACAGTTGTCATCCAGTTCTCGAGTCCATCTTTCTCATTCATGTCCATAAAACACAGACTGTCTACACTTGATTCCACTAATCAGTGTACAGTTTTGACCTGTCTTGAGATGGATCACTTCATTTTTATTTCTATTCTAATATGATGTTCTCTGCGTTCTTCTCGAAAACTACATCAATGCTGCAGGTAAATGTTAGAGACAGTTGTCACAAGCACAAAATCATTATGACTGCTTATTTAAGACACAATAATAGAGTAATGTTGGATTTCATTATTATCTTATCCAACAATTTGAGAAATATTATTGCAGTGGCTAGCAGCATTGCTACACACAGTAATGTAGCACTACCATATACTGTAATGTAACAGTCCAGCATAGTAATGTAATGGTGGCCTATATACAAATGTAGTAATGCTGAATAGGGTAATAAAACAATGGCATTGATGGAAATGTAGCATAGCATTATGCTTTCACAAAAAGCAAAATATGTCATAAATAGTAATGACATACTGTTATACATGTAAGAAAGGTATGGTATATAGTGCTGTTATAGAAAGTATATAGTTCTGTTATTTTTCTTAAAAAACAACTTTGTAGCAATTTTACATACAATCATGTAGCATGTTTATATATAAAAATTAGCACTTTTATGTAAAATAATAATGTACCACTTTAAATACAGTATTAGATCACTTTTATATATAGTAACATATCACATTTATATTTGGTAATGTAGCACTTTTATATACAGTTAAGTAGCACTTTTATGTACAATAATGTAGCACTTTCCTACATAATATAGCACTTTCATAGACAGCAATGTAGCACTTTCCTATAGACAGTAATGTAACACTTGTATGTACAGTAATGTAGCACTTTTGTGCACAGTAATGTAGCACTTTAATTTACAGTTAAGTAGCACTTTTATGTACAGTAATGTAGCACTTTCCTATAGACAGTAATGTAGCACTTTCCTATAGCCAATAATGTAGCACTTTTATGCACAGTAATGTAGCACTTTTATATACAGTTAATAGCGCTTTTATGTACAATAATGTGGCACTTTCCTACATAAAATAGCACTTTCATAGTAATGTAGCACTTTCCTATAGACAGTAATGTAGCACTTGTAAGTTACAGTGATGTAGCACTTTGTGTACAGTAATGTGGCACTTTTATGTATAGTCATGTAGCACTTTATGTGCAGTCATGCAGCATTTTTATGTACAGTAATGTAGCGCTTTTATGTATTCATGTAGCACTTTTATCTACAACAAGGTAACACTTTATGTACAATAAGGTAGCATGTTTGTGTGCAATAATGTAGCACTTTTGTGTAGAATATCGTAGCACTTTTGTGTTTAAAAAAATGAAGCACCTTTGTGTATAATAATGTATCACTTCTGTGTATAATGTAGCATTTTTGTGTATATAACGTAGCAGTTTCCTATCTTTACAATAATGTAGCACTTCAGTATACAATAATAAATCACATTAAATACAATAATGCTGTACTTTTTAATATAATAAAGTGCTACTTTTAAATACAATAATGTTATACTTTTAAATACAACAATGTTGCACGTTTAAATACAATAATGTTGTACTTTTAAATACAATAATGAGGCCTTTTCATATAAAGTAATGCAATACTTTGATATCCAATTATGTGTAGCATTGTTGTTTAACTGTGTTATAAACAAACATGTAACACGGTTACATAAGAATGCTACAACAGAACAAAAGACACAGGACACTTACCATAAGAGCACCTAACAAGACATTGATACCTTCCTTCATCTTAGAATGCAGTGTACTATGAGTAAGCTCACAGTATAAAAATATAGCAACACTGCTCACAGCCACACACCTGGGGAGGACACCAGAGGCAGCACAATCACACAACAGAACATCATGAGATCAGACAGGTGGACACTGCAACAGTCAGGGAAAGCATATGCAGTCTGGTCAAGAGACAGACACATCTATGGTTAGCAACTGCAGTCTGGTCAAGAGACAGACACATCTATGGTTAGCAACTGCAGTCTAGTCAAGAGACAACAGATCCATGTTTAGCAATAGTCTAATGAAGACACAGACAGATCCATGGTCAGCAACTATAGTCTACTCAAGAGACACACAGATCCATGTTTAGCAACTATAGTCTACTCAAGAGACAGACAGATCCATTTTTAGCAACTATAGTCTACTGAAGAGATAGATTCATGGTTAGCAACTATAGTCTACTCAAGAGACAGACAGATCCATGTTTAGCAACTATAGTTTACTGAAGAGATAGATTCATGCTTAGCAAGTATAGTCTACTGAAGAGACAGACAGATCCATGGTCAGCAACTATAGTCTACTCAAGAGACAGACAGATCCATGTTTAGCAATTATAGTCCACTCAAGAGAGAGACAGATCCATGTTTAGCAACTATAGTCTACTCATGAGACAGACAGATTCATGTTTAGCAACTACAGTCTTCTGAAGAGACAGATCCATGGTTAGCAACTATAGTGTACTCAAGAGACAGATACATGTTTAGCAACTATAGTCTACTCAAGAGACAGACAGATTCATGGTTAGCAACTATAGTCTACTGAAGAGACAGATCCATGTTTAGCAACTATAGTCTACTCAAGAGACAGATTCATAGTTAGCAGCAATAGTCTACTCAAGAGTTAGACAGATCCATGTTTAGCAATGATAGTCCACTCAAGAGATAGACAGATCCACGATCAGAACATGTAGTCTATTCAAGAAACAGACAGATCCATGGTGAGACCCAGTAGTCTAGTCAAGAAACAGACAGATCCATGGTGAGACCCAGTAGTCTAGTCAAGAAACAGACAGATCCATGGTGAGACCCAGTAGTCTATTCAAGAAACAGACAGATCCCTGGTGAGACCCAGTAGTCTAGTCAAGAAACAGACAGATCCATGGTGAGACCCAGTAGTCTATTCAAGAAACAGACAGATCCATGGTGAGACCCAGTAGTCTAGTCAAGAAACAGATCCATGGTGAGACCCAGTAGTCTAGTCAAGAAACAGACAGATCCATGATAAGAACATGTAGTCTATTCAAGAAACAGACAGATCCATGGTGAGACCCAGTAGTCTAGTCAAGAAACAGACAGATCCATGATGAGAACATGTAGTCTCGTCAAGAAACAGACAGATCCATGGTGAGACCCAGTAGTCTAGTCAAGAAACAGACAGATCCATGGTGAGACCCAGTAGTCTAGTCAAGAAACAGACAGATCCATGGTGAGACCCAGTAGTCTAGTCAAGAAACAGACAGATCCATGGTGAGACCCAGTAGTCTAGTCAAGAAACAGACAGATCCATGGTGAGACCCAGTAGTCTATTCAAGAAACAGACAGATCCATGGTGAGACCCAGTAGTCTAGTCAAGAAACAGACAGATCCATGGTGAGACCCAGTAGTCTATTCAAGAAACAGACAGATCCATGGTGAGACCCAGTAGTCTAGTCAAGAAACAGATCCATGGTGAGACCCAGTAGTCTAGTCAAGAAACAGACAGATCCATGATAAGAACATGTAGTCTATTCAAGAAACAGACAGATCCATGGTGAGACCCAGTAGTCTAGTCAAGAAACAGACAGATCCATGATGAGAACATGTAGTCTCGTCAAGAAACAGACAGATCCATGGTGAGACCCAGTAGTCTAGTCAAGAAACAGACAGATCCATGTTTAGCAATGATAGTCCACTCAAGAGATAGACAGATCCATGGTGTGACCCAGTAGTCTAGTCAAGAAACAGACAGATCCATGATGAGAACATGTAGTCTCGTCAAGAAACAGACAGATCCATGGTGAGACCCAGTATTCTAGTCAAGAAACAGACAGATCCATGTTTAGCAATGATAGTCCACTCAAGAGATAGACAGATCCATGGTGTGACCCAGTAGTCTAGTCAAGAAACAGACAGATCCATGATGAGAACATGTAGTCTCATCAAGAAACAGACAGATCCATGGTGTGACCCAGTAGTCTAGTCAAGAAACAGACAGATCCATGTTTAGCAATGATAGTCCACTCAAGAGATAGACAGATCCATGGTGTGACCCAGTAGTCTAGTCAAGAAACAGACAAATCCAGTGTTCGCAATAGCAGTCTAGTCAAGAGATAGACATAGCCAAGAGACAAATTCTGAGTTGTTCGAGTTTTGAGGTGTTCAAATTCTGAAGTACCATTGTACTTATGTTACCTGGACATCCAGTGGAATTACTGCTTCTTCTTCCTCTGCTGAACATTATCCCCTGATGGCACAAAGGCCCTCAACTAAGCATTCCTATATTCTAGCTTACAGCTAACACTATGCCCTTCCTATCTTGTTCACATCTCTATCTCTCTCTGTCCTCTCCCTCCCCCCCCCTCCCCTCACATACCTCTGCCCATCCTTCTATGTGTTCCTCTCCCTTTATTCCTTTATCCCTGTGAGTTTTATTGCAAAGATATTCTAGTTACACTTTACCCGATTTTCTCAGTGTGTGTCCTATCCAGTTCCAGTGCCTTTCTACATGTTGATTCACTGAAGTTTGTTAAGTTCTTTTCCAAAGTTCTACTATATTTGTGATTCTGTCTCAACATTTAATAACTTTTATTCTGCACAAGCACCAAAGAATGTGTGTAGTTTATTAGTCATTGTGTTCTTATTCTTTCCAGATTTCAGCAACAGACAAAAAATGGCATATGTACAGTTAATGAGTCAATCTAAAACAGTCTCATTTTCAAACGTTATTTCTGTATGCTACTCTTCAGAAAATAATTACAACCACTACTACAACTGCAGTTACTAATCATACTGCTACTGCTATTACTACTCTTGCAGCTGTTACAGCTACCACTACTGCTACTGCTGCTTTCACTACTGCTATTACTACTGCTTTTACAACTACTGCTACTGAAATAACCACTGCTATTACTACTACAGCTGCAATTATTACCAATATTATTAAACAGCTGCTGCTGCTGCTACTTCTACCACCAACATTACTACAGCTGTAGTTAGTGAGACTACTGTTGTTGTGCTGATACTACTTCTACTATTACGAACACTTTTACCACCCAACACTACTACTTCCACATCATCATCACCACCACTGCTACTTCCACATCATCATCATCACCACTGCTACTTCCACACCAGCAACAACAGCCACTTACCTAGCCAGGCCAGCTGGCTCCCTCTTTCCAGCCTTCAGTAAAAGGTCTAAAATCAAATCTTTCAGTTGTACAGATGGAATGTTGACGACATTCATGGTCTCTGGCTCCAGAGCTGGGAACTCTGGCATGTAGTAGGGATAACACAACAGAGATCCTAGCACTGTCACAGCCTCCGCCCGCGGTGGCTAGAAATGGAGATCAATGAAAGAAGTTACACAAACTGGCAAATAGTAGGGACAACACAATGGAGGTTCTAGCACTGCCACAGCCTCTGTCCGCGTGGCTTGAAATGGAGAACAGTGAAAGAAGTTACTTAAACTGGCAAGTAGTAGAGATAATACAGCAGAGATTCTAGCACTGTCACAGAGGCCGCCCAATTAAAGAAGTTATACGAACTGGCAAGTGGTAGGGATAGAATTATAGAGATCCTAGCACTGTCACTGCCCCCGCCCGCGGTGGCTAGAAATGGAGAACAATGAAAGAAGTTATACAACCTGGCAAGTGGTAGGGATAGAATAATAGAGATCCTAGCACTGTCACTGCCTCCGCCCGCGGTGGCTAGAAATGGAGAACAATGAAAGAAGTTATACGAACTGGCAAGTGGTAGGGATAGAATTATAGAGATCCTAGCACTGTCACTGCCTCCGCCCGCGGTGGCTAGAAATGGAGAACAATGAAAGAAGTTATACGAACTGGCAAGTGGTAGGGATAGAATTATAGAGATCCTAGCACTGTCACTGCTCCGCCCGCGGTGGCTAGAAATGGAGAACAATGAAAGAAGTTATACAACCTGGCAAGTGGTAGGGATAGAATAATAGAGATCCTAGCACTGTCACTGCCTCCGCCCGCGGTGGCTAGAAATGGAGAACAATGAAAGAAGTTATACGAACTGGCAAGTGGTAGGGATAGAATTATAGAGATCCTAGCACTGTTACTGCCTCCGCCCGCGGTGGCTAGAAATGGAGAACAATGAAAGAAGTTATACGAACTGGCAAGTGGTAGGGATAGAATTATAGAGATCCTAGCACTGTCACTGCCTCCGCCCGCGGTGGCTAGAAATGGAGAACAATGAAAGAAGTTATACGAACTGGCAAGTGGTAGGGATAGCATTATAGAGATCCTAGCACTGTCACTGCCTCCGCCTGCGGTGGCTAGAAATGGAGAACAATGAAAGAAGTTATACGAACTGGCAAGTAGTAGGGATAGAATTATAGAGATCCTAGCACTGTCACTGCCTCCGCCCGCGGTGGCTAGAAATGGAGAACAATGAAAGAAGTTACACAAACTGGCAAGTAGTAGGGATAGAATAATAGAGATCCTAGCACTGTCACTGCCTCCGCCCGCGGTGGCTAGAAATAAAGAACAATGAAAGAAGTTCCACAAACTGGCAAGTAGTAGGGATAACACAACAGAGATGCCAAGTCTGTCCCAGGCTCAGCCTGCGGTGGCTAGAAATGGAGAACAATCAAGGAAATTCTACACACTGGAGAAATCAATGCACACCATGAGTTTATTTTGTTATCCTTTAGAATGTTGCATTTTTTTTCACTGTTACACTTTTTATTAGCATTCACTTGCTGTTAACCCCAGTGGAAAGTTCTGGCTGTTCATCCACTCCTGGACTTTTTGTCTTCTTTCAGAGCTGGAGTTTTGTTTGCACATCTGTTTTACAGGTCTGGTTTATTTGTATGCAGAACTGTGGTTCCCCAGCTCTCAGGCAGATGCACTCTTGACTTTGAAAACCCCCACCTCCTTCCCAATCATGGACGCCAGCTGTACAGGACATGTACACTGAATACAACACACATGAATGCCAGCTGTACAGGACATGTACACAGAATACAACACACATGACTCCCAGCTGAACAGGATATGTACACACAATACAACACACATGAATGTTAGCTGTACAGGACATGTACCCAGAATACAACACACATGAATGCCAGCTGTACAGGACATGTACACAGAATACAACACACATGAATGTTAGCTGTACAGGACATGTACACAGAATACAACACACATGAATGGCGGCTGAGGAGGACATGTACACAGAATACAACACACATGAATGCCAGCTGTACAGGACATGTACACAGAATACAACACATGAATGCCAACTGTACAGGACATGTACACAGAATACAACACACATGAATGCCAGCTGTACAGGACATGTACACAGAATACAACACACATGAATGCCAGCTGTACAGGACATGTACACAGAATACAACACACATGACTCCCAGCTGTACAGGATATGTACACTGAATACAACACATATGACTGCCAGCTGTACAGGACATGTACACAGAATACAACACACATGAATGTTAGCTGTACAGGACATGTACACAGAATACAACACACAAGAATGGCGGCTGTAGAGGACATGTACACAGAATACAACACACATGAATGGCGGCTGTACAGGACATGTACACAGAATACAACACACATGAATGCTAGCTGTACAGGACATGTACACAGAATACAACACATGAATGCCAACTGTACAGGACGTGTACACAGAATACAACACACATGAATGCCGGCTGTACAGGACATGTACACAGAATACAACACACATGAATGCCAGCTGTACAGGACATGTACACAGAATACAACACACATGAATGCCAGCTGTACAGGACATGTACACAGAATACAACACACATGTATGCCAGCTGTACAGGACATGTACACAGAATACAACACACATGAATGCCAACTGTACAGGACATGTACACAGAATACAACACACATGAATGTTAGCTGTAGAGGACATGTACACAGAATACAACACACATGAATGGCGGCTGTACAGGACATGTACACAGAATACAACACACATGAATGCCAGCTGTAGAGGCCTTGTACACAGAATACAACACACATGAATGCCAGCTGTACAGGACTTGTACACAGAATACAACACACATGAATGCCAACTGTACAGGACATGTACACAGAATACAACACACATAAATGCCAGCTGTAGAGGCCTTGTACACAGAATACAACACACATGAATGCCAGCTGTACAGGACTTGTACATAGAATACAACACACATGAATGCCAGCTGTACAGGACATGTACACAGAATACAACACAAATGAATGCCAGCTGTACAGGACATGTACACAGAATACAACACACATGAATGCCAACTGTACAGGACATGTACACAGAATACAACACACATGAATGTCGGCTGTACAAGACATGTACACAGAATACAACACACAGGAATGCCAGCTGTACAGGACATGTACACAGAATACAACACACATGAATGCCGGCTGTACAAGACATGTACACAGAATACAACACACATGAATGCCAGCTGTACAAGACATGTACACAGAATACAACACACATGAATGCCAGCTGTACAAGACATGTACACAGAATACAACACACATGAATGCCGGCTGTAAAGGACATGTACACAGAATACAACACACATGAATGCTAGACTCTCACCTCTTTATAATCCACGGCAGAGATAATGCTGCCAGCAGCCTTGATAAAGTCCAGGGCCAGCAGTAAACAGCCAGGTAAAGACAAGGTAAACAACTTGGGCCCACAATCTCTGATCAACACATTGACTATGTCCTGGAGATGACAGTAAACAACCAGGTAAAGACAAGGTAAACAACTTGGACCCACAATCTCTGATCAACACATTGACTATGTCCTGGAGATGACAGTAAACAGCCAGGTAAAGACAAGGTAAACAACTTGGGCCCACAATCTCTTATCAGCACATTGACTATGTCCTGGAGATGACAGTAAACAGCCAGGTAAAGACAAGGTAAACAACTTGGGCCCACAATCTCTGATCAGCACATTGACTATGTCCTGGAGATGACAGTAAACAGCCAGGTAAAGACAAGGTAAACAACTTGGGCCCACAATCTCTGATCAACACATAGACTATGTCCTGGAGATGACAGTAAACAGCCAGGTACAGACAAGGTAAACAACTTGGGCCCACAATCTCTGATCAACACATTGACTATGTCCTGGAGATGACAGTAAACAGCCAGGTACAGACAAGGTAAACAACTTGGGCCCACAATCTCTGATCAACACATTGACTATGTCCTGGAAATGACAGTAAACAGCCAGGTACAGACAAGGTAAACAACTTGGGCCTACAATCTCTTATCAACACATTGACTATGTCCTGGAGATGACAAGTGGCAACTCACTGCTGAGTGATAATTCAGAGAAAAATAACTCAACCTGACAACAAATGTCTGCCATATCTACACATAGTAGGGAAACTAGTGCCCTATACCTTCGGCTCTCAGGTTAATCCAAGTAGTCATGGTTGCAGACTGACAATTATCACTTGGTTCTCTCAAAAGTCTTACTTTTCATAGAACATTTAGTATATCAGCCTGGTCCATGGCTTGCCCGCCCTTCACAGTAGCTTTACCTGCCAGCATATCAGCTTGCTCAATTCCTTACACACCTGCGTCTCCCATCATGATTATGAAACTGATATATATGTCAGCTCCAACAGCTTCAGACACTCAAACCCCTGTCTTTGGACCCAGCCCATCTCTATCTTCCTGAACATACTCATTGAGTTAATGAGAAAGCATGTATAGGTAAAGGTTTGTGTCTCCAGCCATGTTACTGCTCTGGTCACTGCCAAGACCTCCAAAGGCAGACTGCAAGTGGTCAAGACAACAGAATCAGAATTATGCTTCAGAATTCCAACTCCAACTTGAGCCTAAAAGCTTGTGAGCTTCTCACATGGCAAACACTAGACCCAGAAGTCAGAAACAGGTCAATATAAAAAAAAAGGTAAACAACTCTTCTCACAACAATGGAAACAATGACTTTACAATACTGACTAATGACAGAACTCAACAAGAACAAGTCTTACCTGATCAGCAGAGACCAGCCCTGTATGTAAAACAAGATAAAACTGAGACAGTAGTTGTTGGGATGGCATCACCTCGTGCCGCCTCAGCAGTGCCTGGCAGATGAGTTGGTAGGCAGTCAACTTGCCTCTCTTGTATTTATTGCTGAGGTTTAAACACTGTCAAGACACAGAAGGTGAAAGGTTGAGGTTTAAACACTGTCAGACACAGAAGGTGAAAGGTTAAGGTTTAAACATTGTCAGACACAGAAGGTGAAAGGTTGAGGTTTAAACACTGTCAGACACAGAAGGTGAAAGGTTGAGGTTAAAACACTGTCAGACACAGAAGGTGAAAGGTTAAGGTTTAAATACTGTCAGACACAGAAGGTGTGAACAGAAGAAAAGGTTGAGGTTTAAACACTGGTTTGAGGTTTAAACACTGTCAGACACAGAAGGTGAAAGGTTAAGGTTTAAACACTGTCAGACACAGAAGGTGAAAGGTTAAGGTTTAAAGGTTGAGGTTTAAACACAGAAGTTTGAAACATTGTCAGACACGTTCAAACAAGGTGAAAGGTGAGTCAGACACAGAAGGTGAAAGGTTAAGGTTTAAACACACAGAAGGTGAAAGGTTAAGGTTTAAACACTGTCAGACACAGAAGGTGAAAGGTTGAGGTTTAAACACTGTCAGACACAGAAGGTGAAAGGTTGAGGTTTAAACACTGTCAGACACAGAAGGTGAAAGGTTAAGGTTTAAACACTGTCAGACACAGAAGGTGAAAGGTTAAAGTTTAAACACTGTCAGACACAGAAAGGTACATGTTGTCCTTGGTAATGCCCAAATTGTCACTCATCTGGAGAGAGAAATGGTCAGTCAGTATCCCTCCTGGGAATTCAAACACGCAATAATTACCACATACCAACAGTAATATCGTAAATACCTACATAATTCTCATACTTTCCATGTCACACATTAGCCTTCAAGCAATTGGGGCATTGTATTATTATTGTTATTATTTTTAAATAGTGCTACTGGAAGTATGTGAAGACCAGTGTAAACTTTTTTACAGGCACATGATGATAACACCATACACAGATGAAAAGTGTTACGAAGATGTCTTGAAAGAAACTAACTCCTGAAGAGAACTGACTATCAACATCAGATAGAGACAATCTACATTCACTGGTCACGTCATGAAACAAGGAAAACTAGAATGGGAAAGTGGGAGAGGATGAGAGGCAGAGGGAGACCAAAAGCAAAAGATGCTGGACAGTTTGGTATCATAACATGGAGGACTAACTGTGTCAGAAATGACTTAAAGTACAAAGGACAGAAGGCTGCAGCAACATATGACTACCAATGCCATACAACATAAAGGAGTAGAAGAGGTGTAAAATCAGATGTAACAGACTTCTCAGCAATAACAGCAATACTGGTGTTTTAAGCAGTACTGTTTACTGTTTGGGAGCAGCAGCTTGTGGGAGTTCCAGGGCCCCTGGGGGTTCCAGCCCCTCCCCCCCCCCCCCACCAACAAGCATGTCGTAAAACGTGACTAATTAGTTTTGCTGAAATATGATGTGTTGGGCAAAAAGTGGCATATATCACATGATTTTCTCAGCATTAATATCTTCCTGTGTGCCCTTGCTGTTTCTTTTCACATATCCCTCAGCAAAATACAAGCAAAAGAACTGATCAACAATACCAAACTTTTTTTTTTTTTAAATAAAAGATAGAAGAAAAGGAAACTAGCTCTCCTATGGCGAGGTTTTATTATCTGATGGGAAAGCCTGTAAGCCTACAGATTATTGATGACCCAAATAACTGTCACATGATTGGTTGAACCCTAAGCTATACTTGTGTGCAATTTAAACAATTTCATTCATTAAACATTTTGAATTTCCAAATTATGACAAAATTATGTTCTTTTCAATAGCTATGTGTGCCTGTATGCATCAGTGTGTGAGAGAGAAATAGAGACAGATAGGGAGAGAGAGAGAGTGAAAGAGAGAGAGAGAGAGATAGTGTAGAAAGCATGTGTCGACTGCCCATGCTTAGTGTAATGTTACTTCATGCTTTCAGTCCCAAACAAAATATGATGCATGACTCACTCTTCGTCCTGAATCCCAACCTTCATTTTATGTGATCTCATACATTTTACATTTGGCCGAAGCATACTAAAGAAATCTGGCTTCTCTAGTAGTCACATCTAATGTGCATTCATGTTCTTTGAAAGTCTTACACTTGTAAGATTTCTTATGATTTGTTTCTCTACTCTGGAGGTATGTTGCAAGACTTAATTAATACCTCCCCAAGAATATATTCCTAATATACATGATAATGAAATTACCCTGCAAAGAGTGTCCAACAGATCAGAAAGGGCATCAAATACGGCTGCATGAATGTCCGGATCCTCTATCTTATTGACATTTCCTAGACATCCCAGCATTCGTTGCCACAAAACCACAGCCACATCTGGAGTCCAACCTGGAACTCTGCCCCCAGCGATGATGCTCTTGAGTTCATCCAGCGAATCCACAGACACATCTAAGCCTGGATAAAACAATATCACAGTTTTCTCACATGAGGCTCTCATAAACTTACATCAAACCTCTGCCAACAGTTTTAAAACAATATCACAGTTTTCTAACATGAGGCTCTCATAAACTTACATCAAACCTCTGCCAACAGTTTTAAAACAACATCAGTTTTCTCACATGAGGCTCTCATAAACTTACATCAAACCTCTGCCAACAGTCTTAAAACAATATCACAGTTTTTTCACATGAGGTTCCCATAAACTTACATCAAACCTCTGCCAACAATCTTAAAACAACACCACAGTTTTTTCTCATGAGGCTCCCACAAACTTACATCAAACCTCTGCCAACAATCTTAAAACAATATCACAGTTTTTTCACATGAGGCTCTCATAAACTTACATCAAACCTCTGCCAACAATCTTAAAACAATATCACAGTTTTTTCACATGAGGCTCTCATAAACTTACATAAAACCTCTGTCAACAGTCTTAAAACAATATCACAGTTTTTTCACATAAGGCTCTCATAAACTTACATCAAACCTCTGCCAACAGTTTTAAAACTATATCAGTTTTCCCACAAGAGGCTCTCACAAACTTAAACATCTGTGTCAACAGTTTTCACAAATTTAAATCAATGCTTTCACTGTTTTTTAACCATTTCTGTGAAAACTTCATGTTTCAACAATTTCATTTAAAACAGGTTTTAAACTACTTACTTAAACAGATTTAAACTTGGACAGATGTTACTTAGCATTTATAATTCTGAAGCAGATTACTTTGCAGTAAGAACTGTTTAGTCTGATACAGATAAATTAGCACAAATATACCACAGTATGGTTAGTTGGTTATCCTTTTACAGGACGTTGCAGAACCAACCCCAGCAGCCCCTGGCTGTTGTGTGGTTTCTCTAGGCAAATTTACGTCCAGTAGTTTGCCACTGCTTTCGGGACGGTCAGCTCACTGATCCGGCTACCACTGTCGAAACCAACACAAGGCACATGGCCCGCAGCTGGGATCGAACACCCGGCACCCCGGCATTATGAAGCGTTCGCATCGACCTAGCCACAGAGCCGACATACCACAGTAGAAGCTTGAATAAGGATTATGCTCAAGTGGAATAATATAACAGAAGAATACACACCAGAAGTCAAACAATGGATATCTTGTAACAAGTAACTGAAGACTGACTGTTACACCTGTAGATATTGATGTGTTGGGCAGCAGAAGAACAATTTGTAGCAGCAATGGGGTGTTACAGTTAGCAATTACAACTGACCAGCTTGATGATCCTTCACAATGTAAACTGATATAGGCTAACTCAGGTCTGATTATTAAGGTGATTAACAGCTACCAAGTTAATGAAAGCATATCAGCTGGTGGAACCTTAAAATTCTCATAGAGGACAGACATTAGGAGGAAAACAAGGACGAGCAAGGGAAAAGGTGTACAACAACAATCCAACCTGGATTCAAATCCAAAGCTAGATTTTCCATACCAGTAGACTACAGAAGAATCACTTCATTTGATACTGTTGGATTTTCTTTAAAAAAGCCTCTGGACAGACCTTACTTTGGCAAAGACCTTGCAAAGACCTTATTTGGAAAAGACCTTGCAAAGACCTTACTTTGGAAAATACCTTGTGAAGACCTTATTTTGGCAAACACCTTGCAAAGACCTTACTTTAGAAAAGTTCTTGTAAAGACCTTATTTTGGCAAACACCTTGCAAAGACCTTATTTTGGCAAACACCTTGCGAAGACCTTATTTTGGCAAAGACCTTATTTTAGCAGGCACTTTACAAAGACCTTATTTTAGCAAAGACTTTATTTTATCAAAGACCTTATCTGAACAGTGCTGGCCTTTTCCCAGGTAAGATTAAACTATTTTTCAATCTTTATGTCCTGAATCTTTATTTTCCTGCTGCCAAAGTTGAAAGTTCTAAGTTGACATTTAGCCATTCCATCAGAGCCCTGACAAACTGTTCCTTAATTTCTTGAAGGATGTCTTTTTTTAATCTTAAAATCATTCTCACAGGCAAATCTACCCCCCTTAGTCAACCTACTACCATCATATCAACTGAAACACTGACAATATTTAGTTTTGTAAGCTTGTCCTGAACTATTTTTATAAATATTAAGATAAATATTAAGCAATTAGTACAGCATAGGTGGGTATTTTGTGTTGCCAGGTTCAAGTGTCTACGTTTATAAATGGTTTCCTACAATATTAAAGCAAATTATTTCATGGGGGCATTCTTTATAATTTTATACCAGAAGGGGAAACAAATTCAGTGAATACCATGCAATGTTTAGTCTTTCAGGCACTTGTGACTGTTTTCTTGGATATCCAGGATTTCATCTCCTTTCAACTTAACTTAGGCATAACTGCAGCTTCTCATAGGGATGTTAATTGTTGGGATTCAAATCCAAACATGCACCCCAAAAATTTTTTATCCACATACATTCAGGAGATTCTTTCCCATTTAACTACCTAGCTGATCAAATCAATATCAATACTGTTTAAAAAGTCTTTTCCCTTTTTGTTTATACTTTTTTTCCCCCCAAACTGTCAGGTGGATTGCAGTCAGTTGCAGGTGCTCCATGGTTTCCCACAGCCACACTTTGCTCCTGAGGCCAAGTTTCTCTTCAGAGTTATAAATATAGGGGGCAGACCTGTAGAATGTGCTCAGACAAGACTAATTAAATCTCTTGTACAAGTGACCAGCTACTTACAAATGCTGGCTACCTTACCTCTGTTGTCATTGCCATCGTCTGGGCCCAGGATATCTATATGCAGTGAGTCTCTGTCAGGTGTCTGGCTGTCTTTGTGAATCTCTGTGCCTGGCAAAGCTGGGACAGGTGAGGGTGAGTGGCTGCCAGATTTAGACTGGATCGATAAAGGAGATGGGGTTCGGGAACCTGCAACACAAATCAAAAACAGTTAGTTAGTTAGTTAGTTAGTTAGTTGGGTTATCCTCATTGCACTCCGGACATGTCCATAGGTGCTCAGATCCTCCCCTCAGTATGAACTTCCCAACGTCTCGATGGCTAATAGTACCAGTCTCTATGTTGATTAACAAGTCTTCTGGCGTGCCTGTGTGTGCGTCTCGTTTTTGCTGTGCCGATCTTAATTCCCAAGTCTGCATGATCTTACCCTTGTAAAGTCCCTGAAAGAGATATTCGATGGCATACATGTTAGAAGATATTAAAACTGCAGTCGAAACAACAGATTGCCTGCATGTCTGCCAAGACAGGAATTTGGGATCAATCCACAAGTGAAGTGGAATAAATATTCCTGACCTATACAAATCTG